GTCTGGTGAATTACTGTTTTTACTTTGCTAACCAGTCACTTCCTCTGTAGCTATGTGTTATAGCACGTCAGACGAGTAACCATTAGATTTTGTTCACGCATTAATTTCCTCGAAGGTCGTGCAAAAATCTTCCGTGGAGCACCTTTTTCGTCTTTACTCTTCAAAAGTTTTAAGTTTTTATACCTTGCAATGGATAAACTAATGGAAGTAAATAGAATGTTCGGGTTTTCTGAGATTTTCCTGTTACTTTTACCTTATTTCCGGAGCTTAATAATCAGTTCTTTTTGCGAATTTGTCATTTCTTTACCTCTTCACATGATGAAAACCTTCTTGCACGGATATCAATTATAGAATGTTCTGTTTGTATTTCTTAGGCTAAAAATAACTACTAGGGTCATTATTGGAACACTCTAAAATATTCCCCTTGAATAATCTAGAGTATGAAAGCAATTAAATGTTTTAAAATCTGAAATTTGCATTGTATGAATACTTTTTTCACCCATTAAAATGGTAAAAGTGATTTATTTCTATTAAATCAATTTTTTTCTATTTTCTATGTATATTTAGTTATTATGCATCCGTGTACAGTTAATTATATGAAAAGTATGTTTATTCATTAGTTGGAAATACAATAAATTAAAAATTTGTAGGTGTACGAATATTCATTTACCCCCACCCCCACTGTGTGTGAGTGTGAAGTAGTGGATAGCGGTTCGCATTTAGGAATCGAGTGTTCGAATTCTAGTCGAATCCATTACATTAACTTACGTGTTAATAACCCTGGGCAAGGAATTAATCCTACTCTTCTCCCTCCAGCGATGGGTAAATAGCAGGACACACTGTGTTCTATAGCCTTGGATGGCAACTGGTCTAGGAGGAAAACAACTCTGGAGGGTTGTTTGGTGTCCTTTTGGCACATAGTGCACCAGGTCTCTGTATTCGGCGCTTCAAAAAGTGCGGTTGGTTGTGCACAAAGCCCTCACCACTATAATCAAATCATATGTGCTAGTGTCTGGACAGTCAGTTCCTGGGAACTGAGCTACTTGACTCTCATACGTCGAATACGAGTGGAGAGAGTCCACCATATATATATATATATATATATATATATATATAATGCTATTAAAGACAATAGACTTTTTGTGTTGATAGATTTTATTGATCAATTTTTCCAAATCACGAATAAACCTTCTCCGATAAAGATAGATCTTACGCAAAACTTGCCCAAAGCTGAATTCCGAAGAAACCTGGTTCAATCTTTTTACTTTTCTTAAGTCCTTATTGGGATAATTAGACACAAATGATGATTTTTTTTCAACCTTAGCGTTGCGACCGCATGCTCCAAAAGGTTTTTATCCGTTAGCAATAACACATTTCTAAAAAAAAACATATTTCGATTCGCATTTAATCTTTCATCACCAATGCTACCTGGATTTACAAAAAAACAAAATAATTTCCATGCCTGAGGATGACTGTATGTACTGTTGAAAGTACTTGCAGATTAAAAAAAAGACCTTATACAACTTGTAGTTATTAAAAACAAGGATCATAACATTCATCGAGTGGTTCGTAGGTTAATTCACCTTTAAAATTTTGTTTGTGAAGAGTTTTCGCTATTTTATATCATTAACTTTACTAATCTACATTTTGTATGAGTGATTCATTGTAATATTAACTTTTCTGCACCACATATTTGATATATATATATATATATATATATATATATATATATATATATATATATAATGCTATTAAAGTCAATAGACATTTTGTGTTGATTAATTTTATTGATCAGTTTTTCCAAATCACGGATAATCCTTGTCCAAAGCTCAATTCGGAAGAAATCTGGTTCAATTTTTCGATTTTTCTTAAGTCCTTATTAGGATACTTAACGACAAACTGTTGAATTTTTTGTAGGAAATGAAGAATCGTATGTATTTTTTTTTTCCTATCGACTGGTTTTCATATATCTATGTATGATTTCTTTATGTTGCTTCATCTTTTTTTTGTAAATGTGGTACATTTGAGTTTGCTAATATCTGTTAATATCGTTACTGTCAATATTATGTTTATGACTTTGGTTATTGTTAAAAGTGTTGTTATTTAAATGAAATTTCATTGGCTTGGCGACTATTTTATAAAAACAAACACTTATCAATAATGGCTATCCTAATTAGGATAGCCATTATTGATAAGTTTTTGATTTTATATTATTTATTATGGGATGAAGATATGAGTTTAGTTGTTTACATTAGGTTATTAAAGACAGCAGATTTATATTTTTCATTATATCATTATTTTTTTACCATTATTGATAAGTAGATTTCTATTCTATGTAATATATATATATATATATATATATATATATATATATATATATATATATATATATATATATATATATATATATATATAGATAGATAGAATGCTGTTAAAGACAATAGAAATTTTGTGTCGAATAATTTTATTGGTCAGTTTTTCCAAATTAAGATAATCCTACTCCAATAAAGATATAATTAGGATAGCCATTATTGATAAGTTTTTGATTTTATATTATTTATTATGGGATGAAGATATGAGTTTAGTTGTTTACATTAGGTTATTAAAGACAGCAGATTTATATTTTCATTATATCATTATTTTTTTACCATTATTGATAAGTAGATTTCTATTCTATGTAATATATATATATATACATATATATATATATATATATATATATATATATATATATATATATATAGATAGATAGATAGATAGATAGAATGCTGTTAAAGACAATAGAAATTTTGTGTCGAATAATTTTATTGGTCAGTTTTTCCAAATTAAGATAATCCTACTCCAATAAAGATATAATTAGGGAAGCCATTATTGATAAGTATTGTTTCATATTATGTAATTATTTAAGGAAAATTATTATAGATGAGGAAATGAGATTAGCTGTTTGTGTTAGGTTATTAATGACAGCAATTCTATATTTTTCAGGGCATTCACTGTTGTAGTTTTGAAGGAAAGATTTAGAACTCGCAAAATTTTTGTATAGAGATGTAAAATTATCACTGTTATGGTTAAAGAGAATATCTAGAAAATTTTTATGGATTTTTTTTATTAATATTAGAATTAAGGTTGTATTCATATAAAATACAAATTTTATTGTAACCTAATTATGTACAATAATGGATCATATGCAATATAGGTGAACAATTCAACTAGAAATATTGTAAATAAATACAATGTATCTAAATACAAATTAGAGACATGTCATAATAGATCATTCCATCTTAAATAAATCAACAATGTTTTACGGTTTTTTTTTCATCAACTCGAGATATTTCTTCTTAAAAAGTTTAATAATTTTGACACGTTCAACAATATGGATAAAAAATATAGTTCCATTTAACTATTTCAACGGTAAATCCAGTGATGCGCTTAAATTCATAAAGTCTAGATACCTCAGCGGTAGGCTCCGCAGAACATAAAAATAAAATCATAAAAATATTTATAAAAATGTACACGGAAGCTACATTACGGCAATAGAAAATTGAAGGCGAGATGACACACCACGACCAATAACATTGCAGATTCTTCCTTGGATTTTATCAAGGATCTCTAAATACAGAGTGTCCATAAATTTCGTGTGCACTTTAAAAAATTTATAACTTTATTTGTATTTGCGATAGAAATAATCTGTAAAAAATGTTATAAAGTTTAATGTACCTAGTTTTAAATATAGTTATTGTATAATTCTTTACCACAAAATTTGCAACAATTTTTAGATAATTAAAAAAATATTTTCTTTTTTCCAGAATCAATTTTATCCATCGCTTCTACTGAGGAAAAAGTAAACTGTGCCCTTTGGTTGACTGAACTGAAATCTACTATTGCTGTACAAAGAAAGTTTAGAATTGAATACAATAAAGAACCACCTCATAGGAACACTATTACTAAATGGGTTAAAAAATTTTAAGGAGACAGGCTCTGTCCATGATAAGCTAGGGCGAACTACAAAATCGTATTACCCTTTGTATTGCTAAGGATGGAGGACATGTGGAAACTTAAATAAAATTTCAATAAAACTTTAAAAACATATAGATGTACTTCTTTCTAATCCTTTTTGCAAATTATTTCTAGCGCAAATACAAATAAAGTTATAAATTTTTTAAAGTGCCTACGAACTTTATGGACACCCTGTATAAATTATATATGTATGTATGTACACTTTTAAAAAAATAATTATATACATATATGTTTTATATAATTTTTTAAATTGAATTTTATCAGACAGTATTTCTTATTAATATAAACGTTATTTTTAGTGGGGACACTTGTTTGAGTTGTCTCCCTTTTTTATTTTATTAAAATTGATATTAATAATTACCGGCCTAGATTATGAGAGTGTTAATGAAAAAAAAAGTGCCTCCTATTTTATATTTTTACCATCAAAGAAAACATTTGTCGAGCCAAAGGGTGTCGCTATGAGTTAAGCATTGGAGACTATCCTCACAAAGCAAAGTTTTCATTACCTATTTGAGGAAAACGTTCCTCGTTGTGATTTCTACGAATCTATAAATGCTAGCTTCAGATTACCTCCCCACATTGCATGCGCGTGGGTGCGGCATTTGGAAGTTCGCTTTTCGTCTATGAAACTCTGGTTGGAACCTCACTAACGTCAGTTTAATTTCTTGATGCAACCGGTTTCGAAAGTGCCTGTCTATAGCAGTAGAGCCACACCATTTGTGGAGGCAATATTCAAATCAATTGTAAACTTATAAATATCTAAGATAGATATTGGAAAGAAAAAAAAATGTGTATTAGGTTGGTGCAAAAATAATGTCGTTTTCTCACATATGTTACATTTATAGATGATTTCTGAATTAATTCTTTGATATATATAGCCATGTTATATATCATTTTGAAGCGCGTTTTTCGCTCTATCGAATCATGTTATTCGTTACCGTTCTCAATCTCTTCATTCATTTTTTTTCAGGCTTTTCGACAGCATGGACAAAATTCAAATCCGCACGATTTTCTTGTTCCAGTTCAAACTAGGCCGAAAAGCTGCCGAGACAGCTCGTGATATCAATGATGCGTTTGGCCCAGGAACCACTAACGAACGTGTGGCACAACAGTTGTTCAAGAAAGTTTGCAATGGTGACGAGAGCCTCGAAGATGAAGACACGTCGCGGCCGGCCGACTGCGCTTGATAACGAACATTTGAAAGCCTTAATTGAAGCCGATCCTCGCAAAACCACACGAGAAGTTGCTGTTGACCTCGAGGTCGACCACTCAACAGTCGTTCGCCAAAGTTGGATAAATGGGTGCCGCATGAATTGAACGATAATAAAAAAAAATCGTCGTTTTGAGGTGTCTTCTACGCTCCTTCTGCGCAACAAAAACGACCCATTTCTCGAGCGGATTGTGACGTGTGATGAGAAGTGGATCCTCTACGACAACCGGCGACGTTCGGCATATTGGTTGGATGCCGGAGAAGCTTCACAACACTTCCCGAAGCCGAAATTGCACCCAAAAAAGGTTATGGTGACTGTTTGGTGGTCTGAGGTCGGTCTCATCCATCACAGCTTCTTGAATCCGGGCGAAACGATTACGGCGGAGAAGTACTGCCGACAAATTGACGAAATGCACCAGAAGCTCCAATGTATGTGCCCGAGATAGGTCAATATGAAGGGACCAATTCTCCGTCATGTCAACGCTCGCCCACATGTTGCTCAACTGACCCTGCAGAAGCTGAACGAATTGGGCTACGAGACTCTGCCTCATCCGCCATATTCACCGGACCTTTCGCCCACCGATTATCACTTTTTCAAGCATCTCGACAACTTCCTGCACGAAAAATGCTTCAAAAGCCGAGATGATGCTGAATCGGCCTTCAATGACTTCATCGCTTCCAGAACTCCGGATTTCTATGCTAATTGGATAAATAAACTTGTTTCTCGTTGGCAAAAATGTGTCGATTCTAATGGTTCTTATTTCGATTAATAAAGTTTATTATGAAAGGAGTTATGATCTTTTGAAGTTGAACGTCAAAAAACGACATTATTTTTGCACTAACCTAATAGTTCGTCACAGTGGACCAACTTTTCAAGCTGTAGACATAACAATTGATTCAATATAGTCTTTCCACTTCGTATCAACGATAAACATTATCCTGAGAAGGCGAAATGAGTCACGAGCTTGGGGTTAGCATCAGCCATGGAAGGTCCAAAAGATTCTCTCAGATGATTGAGAGAGCAGTTTTGTTTCGGAAGCAATAAAATTTAAATGTAACTCAGCTAACAGAACGGGTAGAATTCTTGAATTCCATATACAAGTATAGTTTTATATAAATAAGTATACCATGAAAGTAGTTTTATATCAAATTTAATAAGTACAGATACAGGTAATGATGTTTGTCATGTAATGCTCACTCGGATTTTTCAATGGTGAAAAATTAAGATTTCACGTAAAATTAATGTTTTATACTTTCTGTACATGCACAAAAAACACGATCATTACTTACAATAATATATAAGTGCAACACCAAACACTACTCCAGGTGTGTGAAACTGGAGGTAGAGGGTACATCATCGATGATATCACTGTGAGTGGGAGAAGGAAAATTCGGTATCAGTCTCTATCAACGATGACGTGATTTGATTAAAATGTTACAATATATACAAGTACTATATTTATATAAAAACAAAACATAGATTCTGATTAATTCGTTGTAATAGAAACTGAATAAAAGTCGGTATTTTAGTTGTAACGTAGTAATCATGCTCCGGGTAGCCATGTTGCTTTCTGAAGTTATACATTTGCGGCAGGTTATGTCAGCGACTGAAGATCTTTCGGATTTGGGAGATTTTC